GGGGGGGGGGGGGGGGGGGGGGGGGGGGGGGGGGGGGGGGGAAGAAAAAACCCATCCTCCCCCCCAGGCTCCTAGAAAGCCTGGGGAGGGTGAAAAATGGGTCCATCGCAGGCCTAAAGTGGGTGGGTGGGGTCACGCACACATGCACACAGGGAGGGCTCACGTGCATGCATGTGGGGGTTGCATGCATAGCATTATGGGTGTAGGCACATCCGAGCACGACCTCCCTGTGTCCCCCCGCTTTTGGCACGCAATGCGAAAAAGGTTAGCCATCACTGGCCTACCACATTGATGACCATAGTGACAGTTTTGAAAGTTAATCCTTTTATGTGAAAAATTACAGAAGAATTTTGTATAGAACAACTTTAATAATCACAATTTATGGTAATAAAAGACTATGTGCATTTAGAACCAGAGCAGTGGTGGGATTCAAACATTTTTACCACTGGTTCTGTGGGCATGGCTTGGTGGGCGTGACTTGATGGGCATGGCAGGGGAAGGATACTGTAAAATCTCCATTCCCTCCCCACTCCAGGGGAAGATTACTGCAAAATCCCCATTTCCTCCTGATCAGTTGGGACTTGGGAGACAGATAATAGATGGGGCGGGGCCAGCCAGTCTCCAAACTACTCAAAATTTCTGCTAGGAGATGTTAGAATATGAAAGTTTATATTGTAAGCCCTGAGCATTTAAGAAGAGAGAATATGGATTTAACAAGAGTTTACCATAAGAAGAGTGACATAGACAACCAACCGTCCATCCCCACCTGTGCCTTGTGTTTCTTTAGCGCCTTTTCAGCTATTTCCTGTGAAGCAGACTGCATGAAGGCCTCCCCCATACTCCTCCCCTGGAAGTCCACCGGCAATGTTATCCCATTTGGCATTATTTCCAACCAAGGGTGGGATTCTACCAGTTTAGACCAATTCAGGCGAACCGGTAACTCTGACTATCAGATGGGAGCGAACCAGTTCGCTCCGCCTTTCAGCTGGACCCATCCACCCCTGCGCTATACTCACCTATATTCCCTTTTTGAAGCCTAGCTGACAGGCGTGGCAGAGTGGATTGCCGCACCCCAGCTGTTTTCCTCCCCAGCAGTAATGCGGAAGATGATTTCTCTGTAAACTGTGTACAGACATGCAGTGTGCATCAGGTGCGTGCGCGAGCACTAAGTATGAACTCAGCAAACCGGTTGTTAACCTGGTAGGATCCCACCCCTGTTTCCAACCCTTCAATCCAAGGACAAATAACCTCATCACAAACACAATCAAGATTTTCTTATAGCTTTAAAAATATACTATAAGTTACACTTTATATTTAGAATAAGTACACCGTAGTATTAACTCAGTAACAGAAACATATCAATATAAATACAGCAAATATGGGATTCTTAAATTATCCTGCTTGCAAATAGCCACATTTCTGCAGCTTTAATAACAATACTCTAACACAGGATATGCTAAGAAAAGCAACATATAATTCATTTCTATATAAACAAATGCAATTTTTCAATTAAAATTAAAACGCAGCAACTAAATCTACAAATCAGAATACATATTTCAAAGATATCTACGTGAAATATTTCATATTTATAAAATGACAGTGATTTGTATCATGTTATTTCAAGTAACTAAAAATGTAAACAGGTTTGTAGCAGGACTTTTGGGATAGACATTTTTCAATAAAATCTGAAGTTAATCTCATATTACGTTTATGATTCTTTGGACTATTGCGTGCACTCAAAACTGTAAGGCTCAATTTTATATTTATTTTACTCCAATTTTGGCCACAGATTGAATGCATGAACTACATTCTATTTTAAATCTATTTTATAGAACAATGGACATAACAATTATATGGACAAAACATGAAACAAGTCCTAGTACAAGATTTGTCTTTTTGTAACATTTAATAGGAGGAACAGTTCAATATTACAATTTTAAGCATGGCCATGGCTGAATGTATTAGTAAAAATTACTTAGCATTATTTCAGAGCCAGTAGAATTCTAATCTCTACCCATACTAGAACTTATACCCCACGTACCTGAGAAAAAACGAATAATTTCTTCCTTGCTACAACCAAATAGAAGTCCTCTACAATTATCAAACTCATCATTGGCAGTATCAGGAGTGTTAGAACCGGTTTGCTTTAGATTCCAATCCATTTCAAACTTGTTTGACCTGCAAACTGCAAGAGACACTTAGAATTAATGAATTCTGTAATCTGACCACCTCATGACAATCATATGGACAACAGGTACATTTATATACACATAAAAAATATTCATGCATTTAAAATCCACCCAAAATAACTGCTCAGTTACTATGTCAATTTAATCCAAACCTTCAACATATCTGTGTCCCATTGTTTTTCTGTCTTTTTTCAATGCAAATTTCACATCATCTTCTGTTTCCAATTCAACAAATGCTTCCCCATTTGGTCTTCCTCGTCTTGTGTAAATAAAATGGATCCCTGAATATCCATTTAATATTTTGCATTCTAAGGAAAAGTGAGATGATGAACAGCCAAGAAGACTTCTAGCAAAAGTCAAATGTATACAACAGTGCTTAAGGCTATTATCCAAACCATAAAGATAGAGAAACAAGCAACAAATTAATAATTTCAAGCAATTCTGGAATAGGAAGAAGAAAAGATACCACTTACAGTATATATTACAGACTACATACAGAACAGAAATTAACAAACAATCTAAGCCAGGGGAGAAGAGGATATTCTAATTAACAAGTTATTATGCACAACCCATTAATCACAAAGTACATTGCTATCAATAAGACTATGTTCTCAAAACAGGAATTCCCTTCTCAACATGGGGGGGGGGGCATACTCAGAACCACCACACTTTATTACTTCCCTAAAATAATCTCACCCAACATATCCCAAAGCTGCTTTTTCAGGAGATAACTGGACTTCCTTGTTTTTTCTTTTGAAGACGTTTTGCTTCTCATCCAAAAAACTTCTTCAGCTCTGACAGGATAGTGGGGAATGGAATGATTTATATTCCTTGCGGACAGCTGGTAATTTGCAATCTTTTAGAGGGTTGTTGAAGCACTTGGAGGTTTATCTGTGTCCTCAGGGTCAACTGAGTAGTGCTCATGTGACCCTTACAGTAGTGCCTGAAAAAGCACCTTTGAGACAACCATGACCTAGATGACTGAGAATCTCTACAGACTGTCAACCAACATAATGCAATTTAAAAAGGGAAAAGGGAATACTTCACATTTTACAGAATCTGAAAAGGAAAACTCCATACAAAAGGAAAACTTTATTGTACGTTTTAGTCAGAAGGAGAAGACAGAAAACTTACCACAGAAAAATCTTTGCACTTCATCTGCAGAGCAGGACAAGGGCAATCCCTGCACTTTTATGACATAATTCTCAACATAATCCTCAGCGCCTTCAGTATTTGACATCATTCTAGAAATGACTGTGGTTTCAGTTTCGCTTTCTGTTGCTAAGGGTAAACAACATTGCCACATTGAATGGAGCAGAAATTTCCGAACTCCCTCCATCTTCCTGTTTGCCCTTGCTTTTCCAACGTCTATCCCAGTGATAGCGAATGTTTTTCTACTCGGGTGCCAAAAGGGTACGCACATGCACAATAGCGCACATATCCGTGCCCACATCCATAACGCAATGCCCTTCACCCACACATGCGTGCACAACCCACCCCCACGCTCCCCTTTCCACACATGTGCACAGGCCTCACTGAAGCTTCCGGACTTCTATTGGGCCATTTTTCACCCTCCCCAGGCTTCACGAGGCTTTCCTGAAGACTAGGGAGGGCGAAAACTGCCTCTCCCAGCCTTCCAGAAGGCCTAAAAACCGTTGGCCAGCGTGCACATGCACGCTGGAGCTGATATAGGATGCCTTGCGTGCCCTCTGATATGACTCCATGTGACACCTGCCATCACAGGTCTATCCCAAATCCATATGGTGACCCAAATCCTGATCCAGGACACTAGAGACGGTTTGAAGTATCACTTCACCTCTCCAAACATAGAAAGCATCTCACCTGTTTTGGCCATTTCGTGGAGGAATTCTCTGGAGGAATCAGTTGTTTGGAAAAGTTAGCACTAAAAGGAAACCAGGCCACAAAGAACACAGTAGCTGGATACCATCAAAGCTGACACCAACCACAACAACTCAAAGAAGTACTGCAACCCTAAAAGATATGGGGAGATCTAGCTCATAGAATCACAGCTTTTGAATGGATAATCAATCAGCTGGAAGGGACCTTGGAGGTCTTCTAGTAGTCCAACCCCCTGCTCAAGCAGGAGACCCTATCATTTCAAACAACTGACTGACCAGCCTCATTTTAATTACGTGATTATGAAAAATGTGATATGATAATGATTATTATGATATCATAATCACCTCAAAAACATGCTTCTACTGCTCCTAGGAACCTGAAGAGATGGACCCAAAATTCAGAAGTCCTTCGTAGGACCAACAAATACTAAACTGCATTGTGGCTGAAAATGGAACAGAAAATAGACACAGATAACATAAACTCCACTTAGTGCGCTGTTCTGAAGATTGTTTCTTCTATTCCCCGTGCCATCTTTAAGCGCCACTCCACCCTACAGCATAAATCTTAAGTGGATTTTTACTTCGGAAAGAATGTATTGAATGTAATTCGAAAAACACTTCCCGGAATTAAACTAGAGTCGCCTTCACCTTATTGTAGCATATACCCGTTCCTGCAATCATCGCCGTTCCCACTACAACTGCAACCTCCCAGACCGGGAAAAACCATTCCCGCAGCTCTGAGGACAAAGCCCGCCACGTTTTTATCCTGCTCCCGAAGTTCAGATTTTGTCGTCTACGCTGCTCAATCAAAAAACACATTCGTACATGATCTTTCATCAAAGCTGCATTTTGACTTTTTTTTTTTAGCCCATTTAGGCCAACTACAATCCTAAAAATAAGCAACTAGGTTCACATACAACTGAAGACACGAACGGATCCACGAAATCATACACAAGTTTTAGACTTTCAGATACCGTGCACACTGCGTTCAAAAGGCAGAAGAGCACTTTTATCCCGTATGTAGAAAACTAATTTAAGTAAACTTCTTAGCCTCCGGATAAAATGTACTCAGAAATTACACAGGACGGGGGGGGGGGGGGGGGAATAGCGGCTCTACAAAGCTACACTTGGAGAAATGGCCAGCGACTTAAAGTTTACTCAAATCCGAAACTAAGATCCGATGACCGGTAGACGTCATAAAGCGGGCACAGAAAGCACAATGTGATCACAGTAGACAAAACAAAAGAGGAGGGTTTGGCTGCGCTGTCCTGGATTGGCCGAGTAGAAGCGGGATTTTTGAACGGAGAATCATTGCGGTTCCGATGAGTCTAGTGGGATGCTGAAACAACACCCGGAAGCTATGAAGCTGTTAAATCAAGGGGCCACTACCGGGAAAGGCTCAGTTTTGACTGCGGGAGTTGGCCACCCCAACCTCAGATACCTGCCCCGGCGCTCACCGAGCGTCCGCGCAGCTGCTCTCAGCCGCTATAAGTAACTCGTTCCCCCCCCCACTTGTAGGCTTGTGACATCAGATTAAATAACCCCTCCTCATGCTCGTCCTCTGCAGCCAACCAATCGCCTGGTTACAAAGGCACCATTTCGCTCCCCCCCCCCCCCCCCCCCCGCTTTCCCTTTCCTTTTAAATCCCAGACTCTTTGTATTTGGATGCTGGAATACAAAAGGAACCAAACAAAAAGATGGTGAATAGTTATGTGGTTACCGCTTTCAAAAAAAGGGGGGGAGGGACAAATGTAGGAAACTACAGATCAATCAGCATATCATCAATGCTTGGGAAGATCCTGGAAAAGATGATCAACAGATCTGTGAACACTTAAAAGCAAGCAAAGTTATAACCAGCTTGCCACTTGGGAAATTTGCAGATGAAGTATTGCTCTCTGTTCCTTCTTACTTAGAAAAGTAGCAGTTAGAAAACACAGGTTTTTCAGAGAAAGCTGCTCTCTTAACAGTCCATTCCAATTTATGATGCCACTCAACCCAAAGGCAGATGGAGGCCAGAGTGAATTTACTTTTTTGTTTTATTCTGATTTTTTTTTCATTAGGATTTAGCTTCCATAATTTAAGGGGGGAAAGTAAGAACTGAAAATATGATCACCTTATTCTTTAACTGCAGCTAAATGGAGATTGGCCAGATTGGTGGGTTAAGCTATTAATGACAACTTTGGATGTGTTTGTTGTTTGAAATCACAGGCAGCAGAGAGCTGTAATCCATTTGTACATATTTGCGAACCTTCCTAAATGTGCCTACTTTGCCTTTGTATAAACAAAATGCTGAACTGAAAAAATTGTTCACTTGATCTAGCAGGTCTCTTGAAGTGTATGTTTTTAATCCCCTCCAATCCCTGTCACCTATGCTAAAGATAATTGGGTACTTCAACCCTTGGATCAGAAGCACAGTATCATGCTCTAGACTAGAGCCGAACCTGAGATTAGTTCAGGTATCTACATTTGCAGGATACAAATATAATCAAGATGCCAGGTTTTTCCATTTTGCCAATCATTCACCTGCAACCCCCCAAAAAAGAAAAGAAACCCCCCAAAAGTATCTGGAGTTAGGTGCATGTGATTTGTTTATCCAAAATTAATTTAACTATGGTGTACTCAATTATCCAAGTTTAATGGTTCACAAAATCAACAGAATCATAAGCAGACTATTTACAAAATGCTTATCTTAAATGCATTTGCTGACATAACAATATAAATCACTCTGTCAGAAACAGCTTTTTTAAATTAAAAACATAATGATCAAAAAATATTAGAAAATTTAAAAACTGCATAAGAGCACAACATTGAAAATACAAATATTAGAGAACAGAAAACAGGAGACACACACACATATATGTGTACATATACATAAAGTACATACACACAATGGGAGTCCAGCTGAGAGACATCTGCATTTGTATATGTATGTTACTATGCTTGATTACAGTACACTAAAGCACACCTCTGCAGTACGTGATATTGATAATGAATCTCAGGTTTAATCTCCAGCACCCTGAATTAAAAGAATCAGGTCAAAGCTAATAAGATTGTTTTTGTGCCAAAGAACCTGGGAAGCCACTGGCCATAAGGGTGGACAAAGCCAGTTTCCATGGACAAATAGAGACTGTAATTTGGTCTAATCAAGTTATCTATGCACAAGCACATAACTAGCAAGCTGCAGTGCAGAGGGAAATAAGCTGGACATTGCTGCATTTTCCTCAAGACTGCTGCTTAATTGCATTGCTATCTGATAGCAGATACTGGATTGTTAGGAAGAGAAAGGTGACAGCCTCAGAACAGAACATCTGACTTCTAGCAGTAGCCCATGCTAGGTGACACTGCTAGCTGCTACTGTTAGCCTATTGTAGATCATGGGAAATTCCCGTTTATGTATATCTGCTAGAAATAAGAGCAGAAACAGTGGAATCAGTATCCTGGAAGTCATGCTGGAGAGTTGCTTCTGGGACAGGCGCTCTCTCATCAGAAGCAAAGAGTACCCAAGAAGCAATTGCTGCTGATTTTTAGTCCAGCCATTGTCAAAACTGAATATATAAAGGCAGGTTTTCCTCTCTCTCCAACACCCCAGTGAGTCAAAACACACGAAGCACAATCAAAGCCATTACAAAATTATTTTTTGCAATATTGTATTAAGGGTCTGGGCATCAGTACTTCAGAATACAATTGTTTTAGGTCTTATATCTGAGCTGTTTATTAAGCTCGAAGCATAAGCACCTTGTTATTTGACTTTTTCATATTTGAATGCCAAGTAGTAGTGTCCAGCTTTTTTTCTACTAAATGTAGTCGTGCTGTGGTCTCCGTAAGCATGTCCATAAGCAGCTCAAGCTGCAGCTTCAAGTAATTGTTCTCTTCCAGTAAGGATTTGTTTGCTTTCTTCAGGGCCTTGTTGGGTGATTCCTTTTCTGGTGAGGGGAATAACTGTAATAAGGGCATCTGTTGGGGGATATTCTCATTTTTCCACTCACCATTGTGGAAGACAAATTTTGCTTTGTTCAGCTGAGCACATGGATGGTCATAGTTCATTCCAAGTTCAGCTTGTCGGGTTTTGTAGTCCAATAAATAAAAGGTGGATAATGTAGTTGCTTGGCGAAGCGTTGGTCTTCTTGGATAGAATTTACGAGAAAAATGATCAGCCCAGTAATCACGCATATCCTGTAGAATGTTAGAAATGGTTTCCATGACAAGGAGAATTAGAGATACCAGTAAGAAACCTAGGGAAGAAAGTTCTGGAATAGAAAACCAACATGCCCAATGTTAAAGAGAGGACTGGGGTATTACATATAGCTTTATTTAGATCTGAAATGAAGTTGGCTAGATGTATAAATTAATAATTTCTTTATTTAAAATGCTGCTTAACATTTCCCATAGTGGTTTATAAGTTTGGAAGCATGCAATATATAACACGGTATTATATTTTTAAAAGTCAGTCAGGTTCATCAATCAAACCATCTATCTTTAAAAGCCCAGGTAAAAAGAAAAAAATGCATGCTGAAACAGGGATGGTATAAAAAGGAAAAATATAATCTAAAAAGAAGTCAAGAAGGAATATATATCTTCTTAAAGCTATACTGTAGATGCTAAGCAAGAATTCCTAAAATGTGACCTTCCCAATGATATTAAATTACATCTTCCAACACTTTTCAATATTGACCAGATCTGTTGGAAGATGTGGTTTAACCATGCATTCTTTTGCTATTAGTGGAGAAGATTCTCATTAGATAACCAGTTATGTATGTTCAGTTTGCTGCCAGATGATATGATATGAACAGTCAATTTCAAAGCCATCTTGTTGCTGTCCTTTTTGGGTTGGAAAACCCTCTAAGTAGTCAATAAAATGAAAATTGTCTTCCGACAGCCTTTCAATCACAGAACTGGTTTCTGTTCTTAGCAAACGTTCTGTTTGAAAGAATAGTGGAAATAACTTCTGCAAGCTTCCCTGGAAACAATTTCATAGTGGGGATGCCAAACCAAGGAA